TTCTCTACAAAAATGTTTAATTTAGCAGCCATTTTGAATTTAAGCAAATTAAAATACTCAACCAGGCATATGAAACGTTATGCAAACAAAAAAATTATTGGAATTAATATTTCAGACATTCAAAGTACACTAAAAGTGTGCTAAAAGATATGTATGGTGAATATTTTGACCAAATCTAGGAAAAAACCCTAGAATTGGCGGCCATTGTGGATTTATGGAAATTAGACACAATTAGTCCACTACACGGATAATGTAAGGTACAGGCTGTACCCCTATAAACATAACCCTATAACAGCTCTTGTGTTTGTACGAATACTCATAAGGGCCAGTTTTTCGGAACTGATATTTTTGTTTTAGTTTTTTTCAATATAAAATAACATGATATCATTTGTCTAGTGCATAATGAAATAACATCATCTGCTAAGGTAATACATTACATGTTGGATTGTGCGGGTGTGGGTGTGCGGGGGGATTTGTTTCAGGTGTGTGATGTACCTGTAGTATATGGGTATTTTAGTTGATACAAAATGTACAGCAGATCACTTTTCCTACTCCTTTAGTGCCACAACAGCCTATACAAGCTGACAAATATGACAAAATATATGTGAAAATCCTCGAAATAGCGGCCATATTGGATTTATGCAAATTAGGGACACTTCCACTACTTGGATTTTGTTGGACTTTTAGTATGTCATTTTAGGGACCTTACTAAAATGCATTGCAGTGAAAAATATTTTATTGCAATTTGTTTGACCTCAAAACACAATATTCCTAGCCTAACAACGGACAAATTCAAAGACACATAGATAAGCATTGGTGGGAGTATCGCTTTGATCTCCCATGACTCCACTCCTGTGCATGTGCATATATACACTCAGTAATAAATCCAACAGGCTAAACCTAGAAGCAGTGACCGGGAATTATAGGCCAACGCCTTCTTCCCGTACCAGATGATGATGATGACGATGACTATTGTTATGCAATCGCTTTATCTATTTTTTTTATGTAAGTTATCGTCCCATTTTATGTAACCATGTACTTTATGTAAATTAACTAAATGTCTTTTTCCTTTATTGTCTAATTTTCTATGTAGTAATATGTATTTTCTGTTTTTTTTAATGAGATGTGGAACAAATGAAATAAACTTGAAACTTGATGAACTTGAAACTATTTACACGTACACCTTGTATCATGTACATAAGAAAATGTGCAATAAAAATACTCAACATGCGTAAGAATATTTTAGTTTGCATGACTCTTTACTCGACTTCTAGACAAGTAATGATGGCCTTTTTAAGGTTCTGATGAATCGCAACACTTTCATGTTAATACATGCACACATCCCTTGATAAAGAGCCATCTTCCAGGATGAGATGTCATTTCTCTCTCTCTCTCTCTCTCCCGCTGGTCATAGATGGGTGCTGTCCCGTCGCGATATGAGGATGATGGATGGGTATGCTGCTAATCCACGTGATATGAAAGCTATCTACGGTGAGTAGAGTCCTTTGATGATCCGCCGTACCCCCATCCATCATCCTCAGCGGTATCCTTCTCACACCTGTATCTATACTATACCAGAGATACAGGTGCTCCGAGCCGAGCTAGCTCCCTCTCTGATAGATACACCATACTCATTTCCTGATGCCTGTTAATGGCGGGTAACTCCATTTGCGCTCTCATTCGAATCCAAATACCAAAATTGAGCTTGATGGTTATCATGACAAAAGTAGTGCGATTACCTCCATGAGCTCAGATATCGCTATCCTAAATAGTATTTTTATCGAACAAATACAATCGTACAGAAAAAATGTATTTATTCAATATGCATTTCATGAAGAAAAGAACTGATATCTATTTGAATTCAATATAAAAAAAATGGTCATCATTGCAATTTGTTAATTTAAACTTGATGAAACTCTAATAATTGCAGGGCCCTCCGAGGTAAGAAGAGCATTGATGCTGACGGAGCTTTCCTGGGTATATCACTGTGATAGAAAGTTCACCTTTGTCACGTTTGTGGGACATGGATTAGAGACCAATAACACAATGAGTCTCTAAGGCCCCCCCCCCCCCCAAAAAAAAAAAAAAAAAAAAAAAACTTTTGGTTTTCCTCGACCGCCCGCTCGTCATTTTCGGGCCGCTCGTATTTTTTTTTTTTTTTTTTTTTTTGGGGGGGGGGGAGCAAACTTAAATGCCAAACATACCATTTTATCCATTTACAATGATCAAAATGCCTCCCGTTGCCAGTTTGGTCTTTTCAGTACGCAATTAGGTATTTATTAAACTTGCCATTTTTATTTTTCTATGTCAAAATGCCGTTCATTCAAATCAGGTTCTGAGCATTCTTAAACTCATTTTAAAGCCCATCTGTACTAGTTTACAGGAGGCATTAGACCACCCTGCAAGGTCACTGGACAGGTGGTTATCTCATCAAATCAGCTTTCAGTTAATATAAGATAAAAAGGATAATGGGGGACCCATGGTCACCGATTAGGCATTGTTTGCTGCATAGCGGGCGCAAGTAGCTGTAAGTAGTACAATGGAGATTTAAAAGGTGCTTTATTTCAAAGCCCAAAATACTTTCTGTGTTGGTCTTGATATTCATTGTACATTAAACTAGTTTTTTTACCATATTAAAGTGTTTATAGACTTTGTTTGTTTAAATGCTTGACAGTCCTAATGATTTTTTTTTGTGGAAAAAAAAATTATTATTAAAAAAAAAAAAATGGGGGAAAAAAAAATCAAAAAAGAAATTTAAAAAAGACACACAAAAAATGAATTAAAAAAAAATAAAAATACGCCCGCCCGCCCGCCCCTACTCCAGAAGAGCAATCGAGGACAACCAAACAATTTTTTTTTTTTTGGCCTAATCTGCTGAGAGTCAGAAGGGCGTTATATTAAGGCTCTGTTTTGAATAGCGTTAAGCCATATATACTTACATGTATATAACACGGATTTAACGCGCTTCTGGAATAATAATAATTATAATTATATTTGCTTATATAGCGCCTAACACTTACTTTATCAGAAGCCTCTAAGTGCTCTACAATAATGCAGCATAATTACCCTGGAATGCCAGATGACGTATTTTGATTTGTCTTTTTCATCTTGAAAATAACGGTTCTATGATAGCATTGGAAACGTGTACGGTCTTGACCTATATATTCAAAGCGGTGAAAGGCAATTTGCGAAGGTTGCAATATAGGTGTCATATGAAGAGATCACTGTCTCATGTTGATTGAGTAATATGTATGTACTACATGTATGCATTCTAAACTAAAGGTATTCTAAGGACTGTACTATCATCACCAGCAGTATTGTGACGTCATATATCACCTGCTTGCATCAATCAAACATCTTCATATTTTATACTACATTCAGCTTATCCTCGCAACTACTACATTTTGTACGTCATCACGACGTATAAGGCTATCTACTGTTTTTCAAGGTCATTGCTAAGAGGGTTTTCTCTTTGCCCTTCATTCATTTTTAGACGATTATGATCAAAATATAGTCCGAAACCAAAACTAAGATCAGACACGTAACCCTATTTCCATTTTAAAAGCTACTTATCTATTTGATAGCTTTTGCAACTATAAACAGCTCTCATCTGCATTGTATGACCTCAAAAACACTGAAGTCCAACGATAAAACGTTGGTGTTTTTAAAATTAGATTTTTAAGTTGACAGCAAATTTTTTTTGTTCCTAGAGAAATCTGCTATGATGTGAGTGTGTTACTTTTAGTGCTACGTATGACCATGTTCATACTTGCTGACTTGTCATGCTCTATCAGTTGCAATTTTTAATATCACAATCACAAGTATGTTTGATGTGTTTAATGTTCACATGTAGAAATAAGGCCCCTTTGATTTTTTTTTTAATCATTTAAAAAAAAGCAATTAATAGGATTGTCAAAATTATATCGTTTAAATTTAAAAGGGCTATGGGCCTACTTTACCCTATTCCTTCTGTATTTATTTTAGTATTTCTATCTATTTATTTGCTTTATTTTTTTTGCTTTAGGCGTGGCTTTTGTTAGTGTACTAATTCTTCAGTATATTTGTTATAATAATTGATTATAAATATTGTATTATTAAAAAAGTGTTATTTAAAAAGATATATGCTTATTTTGATATTTTACATGTATGTACATTTTAAAATGTTTGTATTATTATACTTATGTTTTTATACTGGTATTGTGCAAGGCTTTCATGAAAAGCAGGTTCACTGGTTTACATTGGAACTGAATGACACTACTCTGTTGAAAGAAACCATGAATAAATAAAGAAATAAATACATTCATGCTGATAGTGAATTAATCATCAACTCTAGGTTCCAGTCTGCTTCAACATTTTCCTTTCGGGAGTATATTTCCTTTGCATTCTTGAATCTCAAAATCATTCTTGGATTGATTACAAATTCAATTGATTTTTATGTTTTTCAGAAAAAACAAATCTGTATTCATTACACAAAATCCAGATTCGGATGAATTTGCCCACTCACAGTTAAAGTTTCATGGACATTTTGTGTTTAGAGGATTCGTGTTAGTAGAATAATTAGCCGACGCAGGAATAAGAATTCAATCATAAAATATTTACCGATATAAAACAAGTATCTAAAGAAAATCCCCCTCCCAATCCTCAACCAATCGGTAATTTTAATGACATTGATGATTTTGCATGAATGAAGGAATGTATTATCAATTAGTAACATATTTGCTTATTTTTGTTTGATTATTATGAATTTTTTATGAAAATATAGAAACATAACGAATTGCTTCAAAGTTAAAGAATATTTGTTTAGAGGTAGAAATGATTAAACATTCTGCACTCGTATCACCATGGACTTACGGTATCATATTTGTAAGTTGTTAGGATACTTATCAAGTAACTTTATGTTGTCCTTTGATACTAATGAGATCAGGATTTGAAGGAGAGAAGAATGAATACAGAACGAAACAAAACGTTGAAGCAAAAGTTTTCCGTCGATGGTCATTCACCTGAGAGGTAGGTTTCTAGGTGGTTGGCTTGGTAGAGGATGATAGATCTAGGGGATGATGGGTCTAGACCAGGGAATACACTCAGGAGGTACTCAAAGGGATGCCTGGATGGGGTGACCATGGTGACCATGGAGATGGGAAACGAATGGGGGATCATTGGGACCCAAGGAAGTGGTTTTAATCTAGAAAAACTTGTAAAGTGCAGAAAGAAGTACCATATTTGCACTGTAACACTGCTTTTGAAAGTAAGAGGATACAACATGATGACATCAGGATAGTAAAAATTAATTAAATAGTTGGGAGTTTCTGAATTTGATGAGCAAAAAACAGGACAGGACGAATAAGAGGAAGCAACTGCAACACATTTGGTCCTTAATCTCGACCCATAACGATGCAAGATTTACCAGAATAAACATGTGACGAAGATAGAACTCACCTTTCTTGGTCGCATCGAATGTATCATTGCCCCGTACATGCTGTATGTCATAGGTCAACATGCTCATGTTCTGTGACGGGTCGTTGCGAATTTTGGCATTCAGTTTCTCAATTGCAAACCGGAAGGCTAATTCCTCTTTACTGCTCATCCCATCCCGGTTGAATATTCCACCTGTAACAAAGAAAAATGAATACATAAGTCAAATTTTAAACTGGTAAACTTAATTATGGAAATGATGGAAATGTGAACAAACTATACACTCCAAGGGCAAAGAGCAGAGAGAGTGGAAACGTGAATAAGAAGAGCCACGTGGATGAAAGCCATTTATCCTGTTTATGAGGGATCGGTTATACTAAAAAGGTAGAGGTGTCGGACAAGTTTGCAAAGTGATAAACAATAAATTACTTACCAACGATTACATTATGTTTTCAGATTATATTTAATTTTGATATTTATGGAAGTATCGACAGAAAATTCGAATCCGATGTCACATCATGCAACCTTTGTAATGCGACGACCCGCCCGCACATATTGTCTCCCCTGACGAGTACGCTGAAATAGGTTTACCTATGAATTAAGGTTTATTTCGTTGACAAATTCGAACTGGAAGAGAAAACAGTGACCTGAATTTTAGTCAAATATTTTGAATTATTCATATCGTGTGGTTTTCAATTGGACCGTCCTGGGGGAGATCCCGGGAAATTGTCAACAATTATTCCCCTCTTGAATACCCATGTATCTTTGATGAGAAGCTATTCAAGAACAAAGCGTGAAGCATATTAATACCTGTACAATTGGTTTCTTTATCTCTTTTCCACTCGAGCTCCATTTCCTTTCTTAAAGTTTTTCTTTACTGTCCTTGTTCAATATTTTACTTCCAGTAAGCCTATCACAGCATGATTGCCATACGTTTTAAAGGCACACTGCATTACTTGTAGCTACTTGCGCCCTCTATATAACAATCAATGCCTAATCGGTGACCATTGGTCCCCCATGATCCTCTTTTTCCTATGTTAACTGAGAGCTGAGGTGATGAGATAACCACCTGTCCAGTGACCTTGCAGGGCAGTCTAATCCCTCCTGTAAACTGGTACAGATAAGCTTTAAAGGAATTATTATCTATACTTATACTTGTATATTTACAATTATTAGTGCCTTTTCGAAGTTTTCCTTTTGTGACATCTTAGTTTTATTTCAAGACGGATTCGAACACGTACGACTATATGATTGGTACAATGTCAAAGCTTCAATAAATTCAAGATAAGGCTTTAAAATTAATGTTTAGATCGTTGTATACAGTTGTCAGGAGAATAAGGTACTTATACAAAAGTATAACTTTCCATTCTATCGTTTCTCTTTCCCCACCCTTCCTCTCTCATTCTCTCTCTCTCTATCTCTCTCTCTCTCTCTCTCTCTCTCTCTTTTCTCTCCCCCTCTTTCTCTCTCTCTCTCTCTCTCTCCCTCTTTGTTTGCCATGCATGCACCAGTAGCTTACGCCACAGCTCAGGAATTGTCTTGACAAAGTCACATTCATGCACGAGCACGTAATATTTCCCCGATAGCCACACATGTTTTAAGTCAATGGTATATGTTTGATTATGTTACTCGAGCAAGACTCGAGCCAGACCTTTCCTGTTTCGACACACCAATCCGTTTCGCAACCTGTCATTTAAACCCACCCGTGAAGTTTGGCCCAACCTGTATGTGAAGCATGCTTACTAAACGCCACTTCATCTTGGTTTTAGATTCCTCCTCAAAAAAACTCGAGAGTCTGTGATAGGACTTAGAAAATGAGGTGCTGATTTCGACTTTCGTTAGGCATTCTCTCAATAACCCATTGTTCACACCTGTCATATCGATACAAGTTATTGAGATGGTATAGGAGCTAATAAGTTTTTAACATAACGGTTCATTTGTTTTGATTAGCGTCTGTCAATACTCTTTTCATTAAATAAAAAATTTATTTAATACCAATTACAGTCTAAAAAGAATCACGTTTCAAGCAGAGATACAGATAATGCCCGTTTTAATGTATACAACAACTTTACTTGGATATCTATTACCACACCCCCGACAAAAAAAATAGACGGTCTTGTGGAGGCGTTTTAATGAGGTTAGAGAGGCCATCATTATTTACGATTTTGTCAGTTTAGTGGAATACTATCTTCTCTTGACGGTAGGATAATCTGACATACACGTCATCGATATTGATCTAGATAATCCAAGGTCCGGAGAAGATGACATGTTGCCAAAAGAAATTGTGAATATCGCTATTGAATGACAGAGTATAAGGTATAGACGACAATTCATTTTCACTATAGGCCGAGCTCATCTATACGAACCAGAAAATTGAAACTAAAATTAAACATCTAAAATATGTCTTAAAGGGATCAATTTCAAAATTCTTGAAGTAATACAAGCATACAATGTACTATACTATTGGAAGTGAAAAGCACAGGATACATGCTTTATATTTAATAAAGGAATTACATGTAAAGGTAGATATTCGCATCTATCTCGATATGAAATGTAATCAAAAGAAATCCGAAACGAAGTAACAAAAATATTTTCATTATTTAAGTTAGTGATTATGTCACGTTAGTTTCATGTCTTGTTCTTTAAATGATATATTACAATTGCATGAATTCTGTATTTAAAAACTGTTGTAAATAGCTGTAATTTCAGGATATGAACAAATAGAGTCCCTCGAAAGAGGATAAATAGGAAAAAATGTACTGTTATAGTGCTCTGTGAAAATGTAGCTGGTAAAACTACGAAAAGAAGAAGAGCAAGGAAAATGAAATATAACCGACTAAAGAAAAGTACAAATTTGGTTTGAATTACATTTACGTATCTGTGGCTCATGTGAGCACATCCGTTTCTCACTATCTTACGACTTTTCGCCAAGATACCTGATTTGATAGAGAGCTTGAATAGACCTCTATGTTCAGCATTGATCCAAGGTTTCTCTGCGATTGCCCGGCAAACAAAGCAACAGCGTTATTAACCCGTGATGTTAAACAGACTGCTATAATATGTTGACAGTGCACTCGAAACAATCTCTCTTACAATCTATGGAACGGCGAGGGTTCAGAGTCCGATACCTTTATTACTTTTGGTAATTTATTCGGGTGGGTGTTGGAATCAGCGTTGGAGACTGTGATTATGTTGACTCAAGTCGTTTGTTCTGGTAAGAAGACACTTTGGTTATGACCACGTGATCTCTTCAATCTGAAAGTGAGCTGAGTGAAGGTCAAGGGTCAAGTTACTCCTGACATTTATAGAACGAGAGGAGGAGATGATATCAGTGGAGAGGAGGGATGCAAACTGGAGCACAGATCAAGAATGGAAGTCGAAACTGCCTTCTCATTTCCAGTTATCTTGTATTTTGAAGATTTCTTCACTGATATCCTAAAGAAAGGAGGGGAAAAGAACTGGAGAGGGATTTTAAGCTGGGAAACAGATAAAAGGTAGCGGACAAGAGAGAGAGAGAAAGAGAGAGAGAGAGAGAGAGAGGGGTAGAGAAGAGGGTGAAAGATGAACAGAGAAGGGAAAGAAAAGTAAACATTAAGCCTTGTACTCTATCACATTAACATGGTTACGCCTTTAATTCATGCCAGCACTCTGTTGCACCTAAAGATTGATCGTGATTCCTTCGGATTGGTTTCAAATCCCCTAGCAACCAATCAGGATCTGTATTCCAGATGCCTCATGTTGAAAGACTGAATGTGATTGGCTGTCTAGGGACATACCATCCATTACAAAACCAATACCTTATACACAAAACAGACGACAAACAATAGTTGTTTGCGCAAAAGACTTGAAGGCAAACTTTGCAAGAATATCGGGAAAATAGCCATTTTATCATAAAGGCTTATTACATAAATGTTGAATTTAGCACTGGCAAATCTTATCTACATTCTGTGTAAACAATGTAATTGTGTAACGCGCAGTACTAAATGTTGAGAATATTTCATATAAAAAGTATGTTACTGCATCATATTTTCACAAATTACATATTTGTTACTTGGTATCAAAACATCAAACACCTTAACAAGTGCATCAGGAGGTAATTAACTCAATATTTCTTATAAGTTATCAGGAAATGTGGTTCCAAATGTTTTCCAACAACATCGCAATGAGTAATCATAAAGGTTGTGATATTCGCGTACAATAACCTTTTATAAGGGACACAGCGAGACAGTTTCATAGACATACTAATTCCACATCTAACCAAGATCGTTCCCCCTTAGATGTCAACGTTTTCTATCAGCACAATGCAACCACTGCCGGACCCTCACTCTTGCATTGCGATCTGAAGAACATGCTTTTGGTGAATGTGTACCTAATCTAGTACAATCGTTTTTATGTGTGTATAAAGAAGTTGATGCCCTATTTTAGCCTTTTCTATGATTGTATGACGTGGAAAATAGAAATGAAGATTTTGATTGCGAAAAGTCTCATCGAAACGAATATCACCTAAACGAAGTCATGGATTATAATACGTTTTCTGATACTGTGCTCGTTCATTCGGATATTTTCAAGAATGATAAGATATTTTCTTTATCTTTCCTTTAAAAAAATTACCACGATTTTAATTATAGAATGTTCTGCTGATTAAATAGGTCACTAAGCCCCTTTAAAAATTTCAATTCACCAGCGGAAAGCGAAACTAAACGCGCGGCGGTACACTCTCGGGATATCTGCCTCATAGGCGCTGAAAGATTAAGCCCCTCGTAGTCCTAAATAGTAAGGGATAGGGGAAAAGGGCCTCTCAATAGAGGGTTTATACCGGCGCGCCGACTCGCTAGGGACAGCCCTTATTTGATTAGAGATCGAGAAGACTATAATCATACAATCACGGCTTGTCCATAGACACCTTGAGTTGATTTAAGATGTGCATACAAGACTGAAAGCAATGGGCCGACTTGACGAGATTGGATTACTATTACAGAAGAGAAAGAGAGAGAGAGAGAGAGAGAGAGAGAACGCTCACTAGACGAAATGTGAAACCATGTTGGAATGAAGGCCAATTCCACATGGGCGGGAACATGATGACATGGCTTTTTAACCTAAACTTTCGAATTGAATGGATTAGTGATTCCTTCCTATTGACTCATACAGCCGTTATTATGTCACGTGATGCACGTCCATCCATTCATGAAGAAGGGAAGGTTAACATTTCCTGGAAATGGAATGCTAACTCAAACATGAACATACAGAAACATAAATACTTTGCAAGCTTGGAATATTTATGTTTCAATAACACCTCAACCAAGGCCATACAGAAGGTACAGAATAGAGAGGATGACGAGGTGTGATTACACTCACGAAAAGATAAGAAGGTGAAAACTGACGCAATAATAGATATCATTTTTGTTCTATTGAAAAGAAAAAGAATTTTATTTGTATAGAAGTAGGTTCAGTAAACACGATTTCGATACCGGTCATACAGGTACAAGGCATATAAGACTAAACGACAACTGGTTGAAATTTAGATATGAAGGAGAAATTAAGCTCTATTATTTAAATTTTTGTGCAGAATGGTGACGAAAAGTTATTGGATAGTTTGTAAACAAAATTATGAACAGTCGGGGGGGGGGGGGATAAGGTAGGAGATAACAATGAATTCACTATTCTGTAGAGGCAATTAAGGTGGTGACTTATTAAGACATTCCCGAGAATGATTGACATTTAACCCGGCCTATGACTGACCACTTTAGTATTACTAAAGAGACAGTGTTATAATATTAAAAACGATACAATAACAATTGACCTCTTAATTCGGCACGTAAAGATATTAAGATTCCAGGGATCCTACCTGGCTCTGAGGTGAAGGACACGTGTGATGAGGTTAATAACACGAAAGGTACGAACAGGAATTCGATTGACCGCTGTGGTCTGGGATGGTCAAACCAGGGAGAGTGTAATGGATGGTCAAACTGACCACAAGTCATCATCGATCACTATCTCTTGCTCGCAAGGCAAAGAGAGATGACCTGGGAGTAACTGTTGTCGAATCGAAAACCTGTCTTAGGTTTTGGTTGGTGTTTTTTCTATTATGACTTATCTATCCAGGTGCCGTCTTATAAAGAGTTACGATTGATCGCAACTTATTTGCGATCGATATCAATCGCAATTATGTTCATGAGGATAGGAGACTGCAACCTTGCGATTAATATTAAAGGATAAATCGCAACTCGTTATAACACGGACTCCAGCTAAGGCATTGCATATCTAAGGCCATTAACATGATAAATACATCTTTCACCTCAGACAAAAATTAATACATGTGGATCAAGAACTAAAAATTCACACAAAGCACGCGATTTGTATTTCTCGAGTACTTACGTGATTATATGTATGACTTTTATTGTAGATTTTAAAAAGAAATCTGTAATAAATGTTGAATTGTATTGAATTGAATTTGTATATCGCATGTGTAGCTTTGTGCACACACTCAATATGATCACGTGATGCTGCGCAGTGACACGAATATAAGGTTTAAAGATAAACTTAAGCACTGGTCATGAAGTACATACACAAATACATAGATCTGGAATTAGTTAGGAAAGCAATGGTTATGTATATAGTCCATTAGCATTGGTGACTCCGTTTTGCTAAACAGTACCTGCATTGCACACGAGCATTTGTCTTGGGGACTAGACACGTGTCAGAAAAGGTCAGTCCAAATTCGCAGCTATTTCTCTCGT